TCATCTAGTCCAACCCCCTGCTCAGGCAGGAAACCCTATACCATTTCGGACAAATGGCTGTCCAGTCTCTTCTTAAAAACTTCCAGTGTTGGAGCATTCACCGCTTCTGGAGGCAGGTTGTTCCACTGGTTAATTGTTCTCACTGTCAGGAAATTTCTCCTTAGTTCTAGGTTGCTTCTCTCCTTGATTAGTTTCCACCTGTTGCTTCTTGTCCTGCCTTCAGGCGCTTTGGAGAATAGCTTGACTCCCTCTTCTTTATGGCAACCCCTGAGATATTGGAACACTGCTATCTTGTCCCCCCTCATCCTTCTCTTCGTTAAACTAGACATACCCAATTCCAGCAGCCGTTCCTTATATGCTTTAGCCTCCAGTCCCCTAATCATCTTTGTTGCTCTTCTCTGTACTCTTTCTAAAGTCTCAACATCTTTTTTACATCGCGGTGACCATTGCGGTAATCTGATTACTTTTTCTTTAAATGAGGAATTGAATGCCAGCCAGCTGGGGTGGAAGTTCAGCAACATCTAGAAGTCACGTTTAATTATTATACGCATCTCCTTAATTAATTATACCCATCCCAATTTAAGTTATGTTTATTCTGACTATATATTCCTAATTCCTTCTAACTCCTTTCCCCAGCAACAGCTTCAGGGGCCATATAGACTGATGTGTCCTAGGAGTAAAATATCTGCTACTAGACGGGGTTCACCCGGGCACCACCTTGTTCACTGGAGGACATAAGCCGTGCAGAACAACATTTTGTACTTTCCATTACTTGATTTTTTTTAGACAGTTACAGGTTGCAAAGGTTAGTTTACTGCATCCAAACTCTGTTCTTCAGAAAGTAACTCATTCCATTTTCACTTCTCATACTTGTCCAACAAAGAAGTTCTTTGAAAGCATCTGGGGACTTACTTTCTTTTTGTTGCCTGCTTTGGTGACAGGAATGGGCACTGGAAGAGAAGCCAAAAAATAAAATAAAATGTCACACTGGGTTGTAACCTGGAGAGACCGTAAACAGGATCAAGCTCACAATCTGAAAGACACACTCTAGCATTCTTCCCCAATCGAAGTGCTTTGGACTACAACTCCAGTTCATACCCCAACTGGCAGAGGATGGTGGTCTTGAAGAACGCATCCGTTTCTCGGCCAACTGGCCTGAAATCGTGCGAGAACTTGTCACTCATCCATGAAACCTTGTGAGATCTCAGGCGGGAGCCTTGAAATCTCCCAAGGCCTCAGCCATTTATAAGCTTAAATGGTAGGAGGTCCTCAACCCGTCAAGGCTGACCCCTATAACCGGAGTCTGAAAAGCAGAATGAAAACTGCAGCCTCCCACCTTCTTCATCCTCATCACTGGCTTGGGCAGACAGCTTCTTCAACCTCTCAATCAGCTGGCTCTCCTCCTCATCCTCTTCTTCTGCTGCCAGTTTTTTCTTCTGCTCTTTTTTCTTGTCTCGTCGCTTCTTTTGCTGCTGCTGCTGTAGGCAAAAGACCCACCCCCAGAAAAAGAGACGGTCAAGGGATGGGCAACCCGCTTACCCTCAAAAGAGTAATGACTTGACTACAAGGTCCACGAGGAACTACCCCAGTGGTGGCGAACCTATGGCACAGGTGCCAGAGGTGGCACTCAGAGCCCTCTCTGTGGGCATGCGCGCCGTTGCCCCAGTCCTAGGCCTTCAGCTGGGTTTTATAAAACCTTTTCGCTTTAGGCCTCCGCCGCCGTGTACAAAAAAAAAAAAGGTTCGATCAATCAGTCAATTTCAACTTCTCGCAGGGAAAAAAAAGATCTTGCAAAGTTGGAATTGATTGAACGTTTTAGTCCCACCCGGTCTGCTGTTACCACCGTAGCCACGCCCACCCAATGGGCCACACCCACCCAATGGGCCACACCCACTCAGCACCCGACGATGCATAAGTGGGTTTTAGGTTGCAGTTTGGGCATTCGGTCCCTAAAAGGTTCGCCATCACTGACCTACTCCATGAGATGATTTGGAAATGACCTGCCTGTTGCTGCTCCTTCTTTTCTTTCTCTGCGGTCTGATTCTCGCTGGAATGTTTCTCTTCCACAGCCAGTTCCTCGAAGAACTTGGGGCACAGGAAAGAAATTTGGGGGAATCAGTGGCAGAAAGATGACCACAGAGCAATAAGATATTTCTAACCCTGCCACTCCTACTGCAAGGGTGTGTTACTTTCTGGCACTTGGGAGTTGTAAGGAGATGGGTGCAGGAACTTTCAGGAATTACAGGAGGATGACATTTGGCCGATGCCATGAGGTTAGGATGGATGGAACAATGTTTAGGTGCCTTGGGGGATAAGTTAAAGCAGAGGTCACCAACCTTTTCATGCTGGCGGCCCGGAGGGAAAGGGAGCAGGTGGGAAATTTGCACACACACACACGTGTGAACAGGGCTGCGTGCAAGTGGGACCATGTGCATTTGCGCAGCGCTAGCAACCCCATTCGCACATGTGCAGAGGGCTAGCTGCCGCCTCTGCTAGCCCTGCACGCATGCGCAAACGGCCCGTGCAACCTACATAGGGCTAGCAGCCCGTTTGCGTATGAGCGTGCGCTAGCCACTGCCTCTGCTAGTGCCATGTGCATGCGCAAATGGGCTGCACAACCCACGTGCGCTAGCGGCCCCATTTGCACAGGCGCTAGCCATCGCTGCTTCTAGCCCCGTGCGCATGCACAAACGGGTCTGTGGGCTCTAGTGCGAGTGAGGGTGAGTGTGCACACTGGCCAGCCTGTCAGGGGACCCCTGAGTTAAAGTACAGTAATGGGGACATTATGTTCCTTACAAAAGTCTCCAAATACAGAATTTGGGAAGGAATGGAATTAGGCTTTTCAGTAACGAAAAGGAGTACATTAAACTTCTGCAAGATTTAAGGCACTGATTTTATTTTTTTAGCTCCTCCATCACCTACAAAACAAAGTGCCATGTTCAGGTAATCCTCGACTCATGACCACAATTGAACCCAAAATTTCTTGTTGCTAAGTGAGACAGTTGTTAAGTGAATCACTGCAGTTGTTAAAATTAGTAACACAGTTGTTACGTAATCTGGCTGCACCACTGACTTTGCTTGTCAGAAGGTCGCAAAAGCAAATCACGTAACCCTGGGGAACTGCAACCGTCATAAATATGAATCATTTGCCAAGCATCTGAATTTTGATCACGTGACCATGGGGGATGCTGCAACAGTTGTGTGAAAAATGGTCATAAGTCATTTTTTTCAGTGTGGTTGTAACTTCGAACAGCCACTAAACGAACTGTTGTAAGTTGAGGACTCCCTGTATTTTGACTGTGCTCATTCTGGGCTTAGAAAAGAAATGTAAAAAGGAATACTGCAGTGAGTAATGTGGATAACGCTCCTTAACCTACCAAAAGGATGATGGAATTTATTTAAAGCATGTAGATGGCCTTCTGTCTCACATGCTGATGCCTAGCTGATCCTAGGCAGCTCTTAACAATTGCAAAATAATTTGTTTCAGGCCCCGTCCCTGTGTCTTTTTTGTGTCTTACTGGATTTACAGGAATCAAAGTTCAGGGTTCAATCTGGACAAAACCATGCACAAAGAGCTTTTACCCCAACTTCTATCAAGACACTCAGACCTGTATTTAAAGAACTGTGCCAAGGGTACTTCTTAAGGGATACAGAGAAACATTTTTAAGACAGGGGCTTGTTTTTTGCTCCACAATTTTTACTTCCAGAAACCCTAAAGACTACGAAACACCCTTCCATCCTTCCAAGATTGGTAAAATAAGGACCTGGGTTGTTGGGGGCAATATGCTGATTCTGTAAACCACTTAGAGAAGACTGTAAAGCATTACGAAGCGGCATATATGTCCAAGTGCTATTGCTAATGAGAAAAGCTAGTTTCTCTTGACTAAAAATAGCTGTGGTAAAACTTTTAAGCAACAAGACCAAAACTTACCGATTTTTTCGTCTTTTTATCCTTCTTTCCCTTCTTTACTAATTTGTCTGAAAGAAACAAAAAAAAAATCAAAGCAAGAGTTGCAAAGTACCATTGTTCTGAAGAAGTTCCAAGGCTTGCACCATTTGGTTCGGTGTCCAACCAAAACAGAATGAGAACAGGAAGATGGGAGTCACTGGCAAACTGAAAACCATTTCTCCTGCTTGGCAAAGTATGAGCCGGTGTGATATAAAGATTAAAGTATTGGATGGAATCTGCAGGCTGAAGTCTTTATTTCAGGGGTCTTCAAACTTGGCCCTTTTATGACTTGTGGACTTCAACTCCCAGAATTCCTCAGCCGGCTGAGGAATTCTGAGAGTTGAAGTCCACAAGTCATAAAAGGGCCAAGTTTGAAGACCCCTGCTTTATTTGAATCAGAATTGAAAGGAACCATGGAACCTAAGAGATGTTGCATCAATCACAATTACTGTGCCGCCCAGAATTGTCGTCATGTGTATAAAATTAGGGGGATTTTCACAAACACTGCCCTAAGCATCCAAACCAAATATAGTACTTTAAAAAAAAGCCAAACCAACATACAGGTAGCCTTTGATTTAGGACTAAAATTGAGTCTGACGTTTCAGTGGCTAAGCAAGACAGTTAAGTGAATTTTGCTCCATTTTACGACCTTTCTTGCCACAGTTGCTAAGTGAATCACTGCAGTTGTTAAGTTAGTAACACGGTTGTTAAGTGAATCTGGCTTCCCCATTGACTCTGCTGGTCAGGTCACAAAACGTGATCACATAGCCTCGGGATACTGCAACTGTCACAAATACAAGCTGACTGACCAGCATCTGAATTTTGGTCACATGATCATGGGGATGTTGCAATGGCCGTAAGAGAAAATCAGCCATAAGTCGCTTTTTTCAATGATGTTGCAACTTCAAATGGTCACTAAATGAATGGCTGCAAGTTGAAGACTACCTGCAGTTTATGACTCATTTCAAAGTCATCTAAGCGCCTAAAGTATTACTACAGTATTAGATTCTTATCCCATCTCTTGTCCCATAACTCAAGGTGGCCAACTTATCTAATACTCTTGCCTCTTACTTTCCCCCACAACAATATTGTGAGATGAATTCAACTTACAGAAAGTGACTGTCCAAAGTCACTCAGCTGGCTTTCAAGCCTAAGGGAGGTCTAGTGTTCTAGTTTCGAAGCTGGCACATTCAACACAACAACAAATTGGCTCACCAAGCCTTTGTGAATGCGCTCTTCCTTTGGTGCCCTAAGCACCTGCTTATTTTGTTTAATGGTTAATCTAGGACAGGGTTCTCAATTTACATAACTGGAGTGTGAGTCAGAATACCTGATGGTGATGGCTTAGGTCCATTTTCTGGAATTGATATGGCAAGTTTCTCCATTTTTGTTTCCATTGTGATGGATTGACGCCTCTTAGTACTACCCCCCCCCCCAATTATCATTCTTACACGTAATTCTAACATACTGTAAATCATAGTCACCAAGGGAAGAACAGTGCAAATTGAACACTGAAAACTAAACACAAGATTGGCGAACAGACAGGATAGTGTCCAAAATGGTATATGCTCAGTCACCCAGGATGCAATGGGGCTGTCAAGCATATGTATAAGGCGCACTGTAAACTATATCCCATCTTCCAGGACTTTTAAGCTGAAGCTACAGACAGGTTTGTTTATATCGGCAAAAGTTTGTAACTCAAAAATTTGCAAGTAGAAGACGGTCTATATGTATTTGCTTCCAGGATCTTTTAAAAGCTGCATGCAGAAGGGTTGAAACTTTTTTTTCCATCCCAGACTTAGGAAAAAGATTAGGGCACTGACAGCTGTTAAATCATCAGGAGCCCAGTTGGAAAATAAATATAATTGCCAGCTCTGTTCCGAGCCAAATGTCTGTGTATTTGTAATTTGGAGCTGACAAATTTCCAGGGCAGTATTAGGCCATCACAACAGGAGCTCAAGATGAAATTAACAAACATTTCATTGGGCCACATAAAACTGGCATAGCTCTCCAGGGAATCTGCTGAATCTCCAGAAGTTGCTGAAGTCCAATGACAGCTATAATGTCTGGTGGTGAGAAATTTTGGGGAGTTGTTCAGTAAACAGGTTTCTGGTTTGTATTAAAAATGCTGAATCAATGGAGCTGACACTTCAGATCTTGCCGAGGACTCTTTCCCTTTCTTAAGAGCAGGAAACAATCATAGCAACCTCTCTCATTTAGTATCTCCCAAATGCATTGAACTACAACAGTGGTTCTCAACCTTTTTAATGCCGCGACCCCCAACCGGTCGTAAGTCGAGGACTAAACCGGTCGTAAGTCGAGGACTAAACCAGTCGTAAGTCAAGGACTACCCAACCGGTCGTAAGTCGAGGACTTTCCCTGCCCGGGAGCGCCACGCATGCGTGGTTCCGCCCCCTGCGCCGGCCGAGGCGTAGCTGGCAAGCGGCAGAGACGGAGCAGGCCGACCACCAGCTGGCCCAGCTCAAGGGAGGTAAGGCACCCGCTGGAAAAGGGGAAAAAATGGCGGACAGCCTTGCTTGGCGACCCCCGTGAAATGGTCGATCGACTCCAAATGGGGTCGCGACCCATAGGTTGAGAACCGCTGAACTACAACTCCTATCAGCCATGCTAAGGATGATGAAATTTGTACATTGCTAAGTATGAGGAAATAATTTTGTATACTATGCTAGAAAAAGGGATCCAGGTTTACAGAGATGACTAAATGAAGGAAAGCCAGAGAAAGGTAACACTTGAGATTCTAGGGAAGTTGTGGGTACATATGGAAGAAATTTAACGTCAACGTGACATGGGAGATAACCCAGTACAGCAAACAGAGGGCAGAAAGAAGATTGAGAAAGACATCTTACATAAGAATTGGGATCAGGAGGAACCATGTAGTTTTGGCAAGAAGAGAATAGGAGAGGAAAGGTGGAAATTTAGGTTCTGTGGAACCAAACCCAAGGAGATTTATGGGACTCTAGGATGGCCATAGCCTAAATTTCAAGTATTTGGGGCTTCAGCAGAAAACCTGCAATTCTCAAGTAGGAAATAATCCAGTTTGGTTCACCTACTCTGCCCTCTGGAAGTTCTCATCCTCTCATTATAAATATATATCACTTGGGATAGGCACATGCAGCCCTCCCAAGTGGGAATGAGAATGATAGGAGTTAAAACAACATATGGAAGAAAGATGCTACAAGTCAGCAAGTGTCTCTCTAACTACTATGAACAAAGAGTGCTACAAGCTGCTTTCTCAGTCCATCCAACTGGGATTAATTCCAACCCGAATTAATCGTACCAACCGAAAATGAGCATGTGAAGCACTCTCTCTACAGCGTAACACAAAATCTCAAAATGTTATTATATAGCCACACCGATGAACAAATATATCTTTTTGATTAGGTGGACTGCAATATTTATCCAGCTACAGTACTATGAATATTTATCAGCCTGGCCAAAATAATGTTTGCCTCCTTACTTTTTCTTAGGAAATGAGAAGTTGAATTAAATATCAGTTAAATAACAAATTGTTCAATTGGTTAAAGATCATGCAGTGTGTATTGACCTTTTCTGAAGCAGTTATCCTAGTTTGTTATAGGCCACAGTCACTGCAGGTGCATTTCCAATATAACAACACATACTACTCAGTTTTAGCCCCTTCAGTATCTTTTTTTGGATAAAATGTAAATGTGCAATGGCAAAAGGTGTACTTAATCTCATCTCACAGGTCAGGAGCACTCTAAAAATAGTCATGGGACCTTGTCTACCTACATTCACATCACCCCTTCCCACCCTTGACTAAAACTCACCATATCAACCAATGTGGCTTGGACACTTACGACCACTCTAGAGTCCCTGAGATCATATGATCAAAATTTGGACACTTGGCAACTGGTTCATATTTATAACCGCTATGTCCCAAGGTTATGTGATCACTTTTTGCAATCTTCTGACAATGTCAATGAGGAAGTCAGATTCACTTAACAACTGTGTCACTAACTTAATTGCAGAGATTCACGTAACAATTGGGGCAAGAAAGGTTGTAAAATGAGGCAAAATTCACTTACCACAACAGAAATTTCAGGCTTAATTGTGGTTGCAAGTTGAGGATTACCTGTATTCCAAGACACATGCTAGAGAAAACTGAATTAGATAAGTGAAAAGGAGGGAGGGAGGGGGCTGGTTTAGACACATGGAGAGAAGAAAAATGTCATGAGGCTAAACGCAATCAAATACATTCATACTTAGGTTTACTTAAGTTTCTCCTTCGTTATAACCCTCCATCTATATTAGGAATGCTACCTGAGAAAGGAATTTGATATGTTATTTTGAATACATACTAATAAGAAGAATGTTATGGATTGATTAATTAATATTGTTTATGACAACCAATTACACTTATCTATTACTACATTAATTATTGTTAACTATACATATGTACCCAGACAATATTCTGTTTTCAAAATATTGAAAATATTATTGGGGGATAACCCCAATGTTGACCCTAACCCTGTCCTAATCCCAAACCTTACCCCAACCCCAGCTTAAACCCTAACCCCATTCCCTACCCCATCTTATTCCTAGCCCTATAAAATCCAATAACATTCTTTTTTTAAAAAAATGCTACTTACACTAGAACTTACTGCCCATACTTAGGTATGAACTTACTTCTGAATAAATGTACAATTATTCGAAAGGCGGCTATTTATTTCAGATTTTTTTGGTATTATGGCTACAAACTTATTTATAAAGCAGGGAGGGGGAT